AAAGTAATTAGGCAACTGATAGGGTATGAACCCAAGATTCAATACTTAGTGGAGAACTCACAAGAAGAGTCAAAGAGAAACCAAGGCTTAGGGGCAAAATCCTAGGGCTGACATCATCATAGGGACAAAAGGGAGGAGTCTAAGAAGAAGATAAGATCAAAGAACTAGCTGACACATTTGACATCAGCAAGGAAGAGGTCAAAGGGGACACCCTCTACACCATGAGACACATTCTGACCATAAGTACATTGTACAGTTACAGAGACTCCTGAGAGCCCGACCACGACATTTGTTGCTTGGCAATCGCCCGAACTACACACCTAACATCTAAACTTGTATAAATAGGAGTTATCTCCTCGTGAATAAGCTATCAATATTTACTCTAACTTCTCTATTTTTCTTTTCTCTACTCTTCCGAGAGACGAGACACATGCCTTCCAGAGGTCATGTTCCAAACCCCTTGGATCCAAACTACTCTCAATCGTTTGGGCTCAAACAAGTATATGTAGAGTATATGTGAAGATAATTATGGCGGAGGAGATGGACAAATGTATGAATGGTTTGTTGTTGCTAAAATCTTTGATGGGAAAGGTTTTTTGAGCTTGATGGGTTGGGCAACCTTCATTTCACTACTTCGCCAATGTCGTGTTGCTCATGAAAGTTCATACTCAAGCTATAGCTAGAGTGGAAAATCTTTGAGAAAAAGGCCTTTTGAGTTTATTTGATTTATCACCTTCATCAATTGATTGATGGATATATAAAGTTGTTCATGTTTTCTCACTGGGGAATACCCAACCCACAAGTAAATTGAGCGGCCAAAAACGTTTCCCAAAATGGATCATATTGGAGTATGGAGTAATTTGGAGTATAATACACTCAAGTTATTTTTAGCGAGATATTTTTATTTATAACATAAATTAAATTGAGTTGGGGTGTGATACTATATCATAACTTTTATTGGATAAAGACCAAGTCTCAATTCTCGGTATGATACTATATTATAACCTTTAATGAATAAACCTCAAGATTCGATTCTATTAATCCAAATCTGAAGTTCAATTTAATTGAAAACAATAATTTGAGATTGATCAGAACTCATTGAAGTACATTTAATGACCATATCACGTCTTTACTATGTAAAATATTCAAATAGCATGAAAAACATATGGAAAATTAAGAATTCAATGATTAATGGAACATAAATATCTTAACTTATCACACCACAACAATTTAGGACAATATAAATTACGGCCATCAGATCTCCTTGGAACAACATACATATTCTTCAATTCTCATTTTCAACATTCCCACACTTTTTTCCCTTTAATACAACACCCAATTTCTTGAAGTGCATGCAGTCGTGCCAAACGAAACCTAAACCTACTATATTTTCCCCAAATACAGACGAAAAGAAGAAAATGTTCTAAAATAAATTAAAATTTTGAAAAGACAGAGGGGAAAAGGAAAGCAAAGGGGACAAAAGAAACTAAGGAGTCGTTTGGAGAATAGGATTTAGGACGTGGATTTACTGAATCCGTAGATTTTATAGAAAGTTATGTTTTTTTGTTGCTTTTTGTATTGTGGATTCTAGCTTTAGAGATTTCAAATCTCTAAAATCTACAGATATCAAATCTCTCATAATCAGAGAGATTCTATATCTTGATTCGTGAGATTTTTTTTCTCCTAGTTTTTCTCTTCTTTTTATTTATTTATCACATGAAATATATTTATCAACAAAGTTTTTAATATTTCTTGAACCACTCTAATTTTTTTATTAAGGATAAACATGTTATTTAATATAATATATATATATATATATATTTTTTTTATTGAATGTTAACAATCACAGTTACCAAACAATAAATATTTTAAAATATGTTTTCAACAATCCGAAGAGTTAGAATCTTTAGATTGTTAACAATCGGTAGATTTAAACTCATATTCTCCAAACGACCCCTAAGAGCAGCAGCATCGGCTACCATTTTCTTCTTCCATTCTGACGTGGCATGGGATGCTGCCTATTTCATGGTTGCAGCCCCACTTCCATATAATGACAGCTTCCATATAATGGAAGAGCAAATGGAATGGATAGTGGGTACCGATTGGGTCCCACCCAACTTTATGTGCTTTTTTATTTTCTTTTGTGTGAGTTGTTTTTTATTAAAAAGTAAGTTGGACCCACAATATGAAATAGATAGTGGATTTCATGGATGTAGAGGAAATGGAAGTGATATGTAGTGAAATGGAAAAAGCTGCTGATGTGGCAGTAGGGGCCACATATGGAATAGAAATGGTATCTCATGGATGTGGATGGTCTAGGGTCGTTTGGATGTGGAAATTTTAGAACGTTGAAATTTGTCTGAATTTCCATGTTGTACAAAATCAAGGAATTGACTTGTGGAAATTGAAAAAAAATTCATGTTTGGATAAGGTCTAGTTTTTTGGGAATTGATGGTGTGGAATTTGGAAAAAGAAGTAAGAAAACGTGGTAATGTCAAATTACTAGGGGGAGGTGTAGTCTTGTCAATTACCATGAATGTGGTAATTGAAGCCAATTTCCATGGTCCAATTTTCATACCATTTTTCTCTCCCAAACATGGGTTTTAACCCAATTACTGCGTTATGTAGTAATTTGATCCAATTACTGCATTACATTTACACATCCAAACGACCCCTTAAAATTAAAGGGAAAGGGAGGAGATGGAGAAGAGAAGGTTTTGGGTATGAGTGAACAAAAATAATTCTCACTCAACTCACTTTTATTCAATTATATCTAACTCACTTGTATTTATCATTAAAAATTAAGATCTAAAATTGGTAGAAGGTTTCTCTTGAGTTGAGTGCGGATTTTGGATTATGCACCTCGTAGATATCCAACCTAACTTATGTTGCAACTATTGTTCTAAGCATTCATATCCAAAACATATTTATGCCATATATAATCATATTTGTGAGGGAATTTAGATATTTTGTCATATTAGATGTATGTAATATGGGTTAATTGCAAGGTTGGTCACTAAGTTTACTAAAGCGGTTCACGTATGGTCACTGAAAATATTTAAATTCATTCATAGTCACTAACTTTATTCTTTCGTTTCATCAAAGGTCACTCTCCGTCCATTTCCGTTAACTTCTGTTTAATGTGGCAGTCAACTCTTATAGTTGACCGTTAAATATGCAACATGACAATTAAAAATTAATAAAATGGACGGAGAGTGACCTCTGATGAAACGAAAGAATAAAGTTAGTGACCACGAATGTATTTAAATATTTTCAGTGACCCTACGTGAATGTTTTTAGAAAACCCAGTGACCAACCTTGCTATTAAGTAATTAACCCGATGTAATATAGATCATGGTTCGCGTTGGTTTTTTATTGTATGTATAAGAATAACACATTACGGATGCGTTAAGGTTATAATGAATAACTTCTATAGTTTATTTCAGCAGATATTTAAAGAAAGTACAAGACATGTTGAAACAAATTTCACTTCATCGAAATCCAAACAACTACTTGTGTGCATTTTGATGTTTTTACTTAAGTATAGTCCACCCGACCCAACCTAATCATAAACCAGCGGTAATTTTCAATTTTTTTTGGTTTGAGTTTGAATCTAAATTTTTTAAAATCAATCTATAAAAATTAATATTAAAATGATCAAACTCGAAACACTCGAACCTAGATATAGCCTAACCAGGACACCGAACCTCGCCTCTCCTTTTCAAAATTTTGCTCTGTCTTCTCTCTTCTCCTCCAGCCCCTCTGCTTGGATCTTTGCAGGGGTTGTCGCCGGCACCTCTTGGTGACCGGCGGTAGCCCAATTTTCTTTCCTCTACCTAGTTTTTTTAATGCTTCCTTGCCACTGGTTTTGCCCTTTTCAATCGGATTTTCCAGCTTTTTAGCTTCTCATGCCTTTATGGCTTTTCGTTGCCCTGTTCTAGGGTTCCTTTCTGGATTTGCTCTCCTTGGAGCTGGGTTATGCATCTAGAGGTCTCCTCTCTAGATGGTGGGTTCATCAACATGCATGGTGAATCGATTCGTTGTTTTCCCCTCCGTTCCCCCTGTTGGTAGTCCTCTGCCTCTTGGTCGGCGTCGGTGGAAGGAAGGCGGTGTCTGGCCCTTCTGACTGCGGTTTCAGATCTTGGATTTTGGAGTTTGGGTTCCTCTTCTCCCTTGACCAAGTTCTTGGTGCCTCGTCTTCCTCTGCTTTTTCAGCTCGGAGCATTTCGATCCTCTACTCTTTCCACCGCCATGTAATCCCTCACAAGAGATTCACTGTGTAGAGCGTCTTCGAGCGACTCCCAGGAGGCGGCCTTTGGCGTTGTATTCAATTGTCATGGACTCGGTCGGATCGGACGAGCTGATTATGCTTGGTGCTCTTTGATTGGTTTGTTTGCAAGGGAGCTTTCGGTGTCTTCTGGATCTGATTCAAGTGTTGCTGATGTTTTGGGTTGATCTTTTTTGTGTTCTGTTCTTCTCTTTTTGTATTTCTTTAACACAGATTATACAACCGTGTGCTTGTATTTGGCTTGCCTTGATCTTTTCTAGGCTTCTTTGTTTGGCTTGCCTTGTAACTTTTCTTTCAAAGAGCAATACAAGTAAATCTTTTGTAAAAAAAAAAACCCTAGATATAGCAACTACTTTGGGCCACTGCTGGGCGCTGGCCACTACTCCTCTCAAAGTCCCACCCACTCAAAATCGAAACTTGATGTAACTCCTCCTAATAGCCTAGCCGCTTGCTTGCTTCTTCTCCATTCATATCATAACCCACTGCACACTCTTGACAAATCCCTTCTTTCATTCATTCCCCTGCCCCTGCAAACCAAAACGTAAAGCTGACGCCTTCTCCTCTTCCCCCTCCTACGTTAACTCTCTCTCTCACTGTCTCCCGTACTCTCCTCTGTCACTTTCACCTTTCCTTCCTCTGCTCTCCCTTCGTTCTTCCTTTCTTCTACTCCTCTTCTCCCTCACCCCATTTCCCCCCACAACAACAATTCACAATGAGAGACAGAGGAAAAGCTCTGGATTCAACCAACAACAACAACAATGGCGACTTGTTCCTCCACGACGACTCTGCCTCTTACCTCCCCTGCAAGCGACACCCTTCCTCTTCTTCCCCTCCCGTCGGAATCTGCCCTCACTGCCTCAAAGAACGCCTCCTCACCCTGCTCTGCTCCGATTGCGGCGAGCAGCGCCTCTCTTCCTGCTCCTGCGGCGAAATCTCCCCCAATCGCGCCTCCCATTCCAGCAATTCCAATCTGGAAGTGGGCAGCGTCGGCCGGGTCTCCTTCCTGATTGAGAACGATGCTCAGTCTCAGCCTTCCAGCAGTCTTAAGCGATCGAATTCCAGCAAACCGCCGCTGCAGCCGCCGTCGGCGGCTGCAGCGGAAGTTCTGATCTTGAAGCGGAGCAGCAGCAGCTGCGTGGAGATCAAGCGCCGGAAAGGCGGGTTCTGGAAAATCGGGAGGTTCTTCACCAGGAGGTCGAAGGACAAGGTGGGTAGTGGAAGCGGTAACGGAATTCCGCACAGCGTCGCCGGGATTGAAGACCGGAACGGCGACCTGTGGGTTCTCGACGGAGATTACGCGGCTGGCGGTGGGTGCGGCGGGATGGTTTCGAGGTCGAGATCGTTGTGCAGCTTCAGGGGCGGCGGCGGAGGCGGGTTTTTCGCGGGGTCGGAGGACGGGACGTATTCAGGGGCGAGAAGCTCTGTTTCCGGCGCCAGGAGCTCCATCTCCGCCGCACGGAGCTCCGGGTTCAACGGGCTGGTTTTCGACCCGGACAGGAAAAGCGGGTACAGCGAGTCCGAGCCCAGGAAGAGCGGGTTCGATGTCGTCGAGAATCAGAAGAGGGATTACGCGATCCCGCGGGGTTTTTCGCTCCGCGAAGGCAATTTCACGACCGCCGTCGACGACTCGGGATTCATCGACCTGAAATTCGACTTCCAGCCGCCGTCGGAATCGAAGCCGCCGCCGACGGAGGCGGGAGAGTACGGGATGGCGGGAGGAGATGGAAACGGCGGGTCGTTTCGGGTGTCGGTGAGTGACAGAGGGATTAAGCGGAGCCGGAAGAGCTTCAAGAGCTGGAGATGGATTTTCCGGCAACACCACCACAACCACCACCATCATCAACATAATCATAGTAGTAGTAGTAATCATGACAACAATAATCACCATCTGGGTGCGAAAGGGGAACAGAATAATGTGGTTAATTCGATGTAGATTTATTGTTAATTACAGCATTAAGAATCCTCTTTAATGGGTATTACTATATTGATGATGATGCTGCTTTGGAATTTCGAATGTGGCGGTACTTTTTTTCTTTGGGCCCCGGAGAGAGCTTTAAATTGAAGAAAGGAAAAGGGTGACCGGCCGGCCGGCGGCAAAAGCAGCTCGTTCGAATGTGACACCTTTCTGCGGGGAGATCGGTTCACTTTTGTGCCCGTTTGTGATTTGCTGTTTCTTTCTCTTTATTCAGCAAAATACGAGCCTTTTGTATAGTGTTTTTGTGGTGTTGTGTATGAAGTTCATTGCAGCCTGGAACCTGGTCTGAGCTTTGGGCCCATGGAATTGTACTGTACTAGACCACCCCAGGCCCAGCCTCTTAATCTATCTATCTTCTATCTATCAATCTATCTACTATCTCTACGCATATTATAATAAGCCGAAGGGAAAAACATGAGCCCCATTTCAAATTTCCTGCAACGAGAGTGAAAGTAGGAAGGACATTTTGGTCTTCACAATTACTTTTTTTATTCATTAAAAAGACACGTACTGGGATTCAAACCATGACCAGTTTAAAGAAAAACAAAGATCATAACCAATCACACTAAGTACCTTTGTTGTATCTTTTTAAATTAAAAACATATAATAGCAGAGAGGAAAAAACCCTTCCCCCATTTCAAATTCCCTGTTCCATGAGCGTTTGTAGGTAGGGTAGAATATGGAGTGTCAATTTTTTTCTCTTTCCTCTGTGGAACGAGCCAACTTACCGTACACATGCGAATTTAAACGGGTCCAGGAGTGTCAATTTTTTTCTTTAAGCCCTTTTATTTCTCCGTGGTGATAAAATATATATCAAAAGGCAAAAACAATACTCCTTTTTATTGCTAAAAATAAAAAATTTAACAATAAACTAATGCATGGTATCTAATGGGCTAACCGCTAACCATAAAATAAAAGAGTTGAATGGGCCTGACCTACACGGGATTTTGCCATCAAGTAAAACAAATGAATATCATTGGTTTGTCATTCTAAAACAAGCTATTTTCTCTGACATAATATATATTATGCTGTTATTTTATATCTTAGTGGCTAAAATATAATGTATTTTAAAGTTATTCAATGGTTCAACCTCGACCAACCCAATTAGTCCAATTTTTATCATTTCAAATATATATTATATAATTATTTGATATCATAATGATCAAATTATAGTGTATTTTATAGGGAATCGTTTGGTATTTGTTAGTAAAAAACTAAACAGAAAGATCTATTTGGTTATTTTAAACATTAAAACGATCCTAACCATTTTCAGTTCCTTTTGAATTTCTATGGTTTTATTCCCGAATAAGTGATGTATAAATGGCGAATTGTAGTCGTCTCTTTTCTTTCACTATTTTTTATTTTCAAATAGAAAGTTTAAAAGTAAAGAATAATTAGAATTTGGCATGGATCGGTCAAAGAGGTTGAATTTTAAATTTTGACCCGTTTGTTTTATGCATTGCAAATCTATTAGCATGTTGATGGAAATGGCTTGAAAAAGAAGACATATAAGTTGTACCTTTGCAGAAATGTCCTCAAATGTTTGAATGCTTTGTGAATCAGATTCCGTGACTTTTGTGATGGTGTATGTGCTTGACGATTGCTCGATGTTGTAACTGCTTAATTTGAGAGTAAATCTTTTCATTTTCCCTATGAGTTGTGATACTAGTTCTGGTGGTTGCAACATGTTGTCGTTGTTTGCCTGTAAAAGTTGTTCCGCCGTGATGCTAAATACCTTTCTTTCCTTTTTAACAAATTGTGTAGTAGTGCTATGAAACAGACCACCCATGAACGCTACGCTTATTATGGTCTGTTCTTACTTCCGGTGGTGAGAAATTGTGAATTGAGAATCATATTCGCCTACCGCACTGTGTCTAGCTGGTGGCTGCTTACTGTGCTCTCTAGAGTTATGAAATAGACTACCTATGAACGTTACCCTTAAGAGTTCATAACTTTGCGAAAAACCAAATTTAGGCAATCAAAGGTGTTGGATGTGTGATGATTTTTTATGGCTTAATTATTTGTGAATTGGATATCTGATCTTTGTATGGTTAGAGGGGATGTTTGCTTAATAGAATAATCCATTTTAATTCATGTTTATTTTTAACATGAACTTTAGTAACTCAAAACCTTCGAGACACATATCACCTACTGCATTGTATCATTTTGCCTGGGTGCTTGCTGTGTTGTCAAACTTCTTTGCTGCTGTGCTTTTACACTAACAGGGAGTTAAGAACCCATGAATGTTTCCGTTTGACACAACCAGAAGGGCTTGCTTCTAAATCGTGCAATAAAGATGATTGGAGGAAACATCTCTGTTGCAGTTGATATACTGGAGACCAGAACAAAAGCAACGTATAACATCAAAACCAACCATCTGAACTATTAGCATTGTTGCTTTACTCTTTTTTTCATGGTTGAGTCTCCTTCAAAAAATTTAGTTTGATTTTAGAAAATTTTGCTTCTGCAGTCCTATCTTGCCACCAACGCGTACAGTAGATGGAGATGGCAGAGGCGAAGGCTATTTTTGTGTTGTTGTTGCTGGTTTAGGGATCGGTTTGTGAAGAAGAGGGAGAAGAGATGGGGAAAGGGAAATGCAGAAGAGGGGGATAACTCTTTTCTCCGACAAAAATGGAGTGAAGAAAGGAATTATGATCAGTAAAGATATGGTTATCTTACATAACGGTCTGTATTCTGTTTGAATTGAGCTTGGGAGGCAGTGATAAGGACGAGTTGCAACCAATTCATAGTGAGAAGAGAGCTGTGAACTGTGGTCATGTCTTATTTCAAGTTAGAAGGTAGTTTCAGTATAAGGATTATTTAATTTAACAAATTGTTTCGTCCATGATTCTTGGTAGTTTCATCGCCATTCTAGCCATTGTTTAGTATGTAATTTTTGAGAATTGATGTGCGAGTAATGACTTTCACTTAGCTTCAAATATTATGTGTGTATTTATTGGCATGTGATAGAATTCTCTTTTCCTTTTCTTTGAATTCAGTTTCATACTCTAATTGTATCATTTGTACATAGGCAAATCATGCTCGAGATGACAACTCGCTGATATGGCTGGTGCAAGGAACGAAGCCATCATTAGAATTCAGAACGACAATGGGGAGGGATGCCCAGGACTAATTCAATGATGATTGATGATGGTATAATAAAAATTGAAGTCTGCACCAGTACCAATTTTTAGGCCTAAGTAAAGTTATTCAACCCAGAACTCTGATTAATTTCAAACGGAGAGGATTAGTCATATATCTTGACTCTTCAGAAGTGGGTCATATATCTTGACTCTGCTTAGCGCTAAAAATTGTCCTCACACAACCTTGATCCTGTTTGAGCCACTTCTGAAGAGTCAAGATATATGACTAATCCTCTCCATTCGAAATTTCTTATTGACTCTTCTGGCCCTTTAGGTTGGGGCGGGTCGGGAAGAATCGGATTAGTGGGTCGGTCCTAATCAAGTGGAATCCCAATCTCTTAACTCTCACTTGCTTTCTCTCCCATTCCACAAGTGGGAAACATAAAGTAATCCGGCCAACTGGCCGGGTAAATAAGTAAGCTAGTACTTATAATACGCCGAAGGGAAAAACGGGAGCCCCCATTTCAAATTTCCTGCAACGAGAATGAAAGTAGGAAGGACATTTTGGTCTTCACAATTACTTTTTTTTATTCATTAAAAAGATACATACTAGGATGCGAACCACGACCATTTTATAGAAAGGAAAGGATCATAACCAATCACACTAAGTACATTTGTTGTATCCTTTTAAATTAAAAATATATAATAGCAGGGTGGAAAAAACTCTTCCCCCATTTCAAATTCCTTGCTCCAGGAGCGTTTGTAGGAAGGGTAGAATAGGGAGTGTCAATTTTTTCTCTTTTCTCTGTGGAACGGGCCAACTTACCGTACACATGCGGATTTAAACGGGTCTAGGAGTGTCCATTTTTTTTCTTTATACCCTTTTATTTCTCCATGGCGATAAAATATATATGAAAAGGCAAAAATAATACTCCTTTTTATTGTTAAAAATAAAAAAATTTAACAATAAACTAATGCATGGTATCTAATGGGCTAACCGCTAACCATAAAATAAAAGAGTTGAATGGGCCTGACCTACATGGGATTTGGCCATCAAGTAAAACAAATGAACATCATTGGTTTGTCATTCTAAAACAAGCTATTTGCTCTAGCATAATATATATTATGCTATTATTTTATATCTTAGTGGCTAAAATATAATGTATTTTAAAGTTATTCAATGGTTCAACCTCGACCAACCCAACTAGTCCAATTTTTATCATTTCAAATATATATTTTATAATTATTTGACATCATAATGATCAAATTATAGTGTACTTTATAGGGAATCGTTTGGTATTTGTTAGTAAAAAAACTAAACATAAAGATCTATTTGGTTATTTTAAACATTAAAACGATCCTAAATATTTTCAGTTCCTTTTGAATTTCTATGGTTTTATTCCCGAATAAATGATGTGCAAATGGCGAAATGTAGTCGTCTCTTTTCTTTCACTATTTTTTATTTTCAAATAGAAATTTTAAAAGTAAAGAATAATTAGAATTTTGCATGGGGCGGTCAAATAGGATGAATTTCATGTTTTGGCCCGTTTGTTTTATGCATTGCAAATTTATTAGCATGTTGATGGAAATGGCTTGGAAAAAAGACATATAAGTTGTAAACTTTGCAGAAATGTCCTCAAATGTTTAAATGCTTTGTGAATCAGGTTCCGTGACTTTTGTGATGGTGTATGTGCTTGACGATTGCTCGATGTTGTAACTACTTAATTTGAGAGTAAATCTTTTGATTTTCCCTTTGAGTTGTGATACCAGTTCTGGTGGTTGCAGCATGTTGTCGTTGTTGGCCTATAAAAGTTGTTCCGCTGTGATGCTAAATACCTTTCTTTCTTTTTTAACAAATTGTGTAGTAGTGCTATG